AAGTTTTATTTATTTTTATTTATTAATTTTAATTTATAGATTATTAATTTATTATTATTAATTTATAGTACTTGATCTATGATTAAAATTATCATATTACAGTCAGATTCCCATATAGTTACCTAATCAGTTCTCTCAAAACTGGTGATTGTATAAGGGTGTGACTGTAAAAGGATAACCCCTATATAATTACAATCATATTAAAAAATCATGTGCAGTGACTATGTAAAAAATCTGTATCACACTCCGGGATTTAATAATGATTTCTGTTACCTAGTTTTAAAATACTTGAAAAATGCAATAATAGTTAATTTTTAAAATACTTTATTAAATGTAACAATGGTAAATTTTTAGAATACTTTTATTAAATGTAAATTTAAATGCTATATAATATTATAACAAATGCTATGTAAATTACATATTAATTAACTGCTAAAAAAATCTGTAATTGAAACTTGCTTTCGAGATTGTAGTTTAAGTCGTTTGACTATTTTAAAATATTTGTTAAAGATCTTCATATCTGCTACATACAATTTATCCATTTGCTATTGCTCAAAAAATGTAATCCATATTTGTAAAGACTTGAAAGCATCGCTTAGAGATACTGACATTTGTTCTTCTTCAGAATTACTATTTTCATTACTTTTATTATACATTTTCTCTTTAACAAGTTTTATAATATCATTTTCATTCAAAATATCTTCAGTTGGAATTCCCTCTAAGTTATTAAAGAAATCATTCAATGTATCTGCCAATAAAGCTGTAAAAGGATCATTCATATTGAGTTCTTCAATTATTTGATTAATATTCGCTTCTTCTTCTTATTGAATTTGTATCGTATCATCCATATCTTCATCAATCAAAGAAGGAAGAATTCTGGTTTCTTTCTAACAATTCTGAATTTTTTCTTCAGTTACACAACTTTATGCTTCTGCAATATAATTTATTGTTTCTTTAATACTAATTTTCTCCTTATTAATGTCTTTTTTATCTTCAAAAAGATCTAGCATATGACGACAGTATTTTCTTTTAAAATAACTCTTGAAATTTGCAATAATTCTGGCATCGAGTGGTTGAAGATGACTTGTAATGTTTGGAGGTAAAAAAATAACCTCAATATGAGTTAGTTGCTGGGAAATATTTGATCTACCACCATGACTATCATGACCTCTTGATCCACTACCACAACTTTCACAACCTCTTAATCCACCATCACAATTACCACGATCTCTTAATCCACCACTACAACTATCATAACTTCTTGATCTACCACTACAACTATCGTGACCGCTTGAACCACTAGCTGCAAATTCAATTTCACCATCATTATCTTCATCTTGATTGTCTTGTTTAATTCTTAAAGTTGATAAACTATATGGATTGAAATATGATAGAGCATTATCAATCAAAATAAAATCTTTTTGTCTTATATTCTAAAATAATTATCTATTTCACGAAGCACCTCTTTGAAAATCAAAGAATTCATCTATACTTTCAGATTTCTATGGTAGTAAACTAGAAGGGATCCTAAATTAATCTTTGAAAGTGATCTTGGACGTTTTGTATCACCAATTACCTATGGTTTGAGTTTATCTATTCCAGTTGCATTAACGTCAAGAAGTACAGTGATTCTTGACTTATCTTTTTTTCGACTAGGAACAGGTTTAGTAGAAAGAGTTTGACTAGAAGGTATTCAATAAAAAAGACCCTTTTTAATAAGTAAATTAAATATTAGTTTTAGAAGAATAATAATATAAATAAAATATGAACTTTTTTTAAAAACTTACTGTTTCATCAATGTTGTAAATTCTATCAAGAGTATATCGATCTAAAATTAATTGTAATTTTGTTCGTTCCTCTAGAAGTAATGCTAATAATGCACTTCCTGACTTTGTGCATATGATACTTATGAATGTTATTATGTTTCTTGAACTTATATAGCCAACCATTAGAAAATACATACTCATTTTCTTGTATATTAAGTGTATTAGCAAAAAATCTTACCTTTTCTTTTATTAATAAATCTGTTAAGATAACCCCATTTGCTGTTAAATTTTCTACCCATAAATTTATAGCACGATTAAGTTCTGGAAATTTGACTCCTTTATATCTGAAAATTTCTTTAGAACCTTCAATTTCTAACACAGAGGTTTACTTTTCACTTTTGGCCAATATTTTTGTTACAGTACTGTGATTGATATTTAAAGTTGAGTTTTTTTCAGTAAAATAAGCTGCAACTTTAGAATGTGTTTTATTACTATTTTTTTCACCCATTCACAAATTTGTTATTTGAGGTTAATACTTATAGCTGAGCGATGCTGTTTAGGTCTGTCAGACATTATAAAAAACTAATTAAACAAAGAAGACAGAAAAAACAAAGGTTATTTGAGTATTGCTTTAAAAGAGAGTTTTTGAAGAAGCTTTTTAATAATAAAGCTATAATAACAGTTTAGAGTTTATAACATCATAGCTATTATTTGATGCAGAAAAACTACCGTTATGAAACGAATGCAGAAAATGAAAATTCAAGAAAATTGTTCTATTTTCTCAAGTGTTACAAATTATTGTTCCACTTTTCAAGCTTTATTGTATTTTACCATTATCATTTTTAAGTAAGTCTTACATTTTTACGTGTTAAATTTTTACTTGTTACAATTTTCTGTGCTACATTTTATGAGATCAACCAATTAAATTTCTTTGATATAAGCCAATCGGAAATTTGTGATTATAAAGAGGTCTAATTATTAACAAAAATAATATGTACGTTATAAGTGTAAGGTGATAGTGACTATAGCAGATTTGTGACTATATAGAGGTAATTTAATAATATTAAATTCCATTATATAAAAATGGGTGTTTATAAAGAGGTGTGACTATATAGGAGATGATTGTATAGGGGGTTTGACTATATATTGATAATCATTGGGAAGTAAATTTTATTGAGAAATCACGTGAAATTTTTACTTCTTATTTCAATATGCATTATGCACCATCGATAATAGATTTAGAAAATATAAATGAA